GTTTTAAAATATTAACTGCATCTGTCTCAGGAAGGATTGCTTGGCTGCTACTCTACATTTTCAGAGAGTGAATTCTTCTACTTCACCATCACTATCTTGATTAATGCAGTTTAATGCATTTTCATCCAAGCCAGACACAATTAAACTTTTTTATTTTTATTAAGTACAGTAATAGTTATTCTCATTTGGAAGACCAAGGGGAATACACATGAAACAATATGTATTAATTTTGAATAATGTTGAAACTAGATTAAAATATCATAAGTTGTCAGTCACCATGGGATTGGGGAAAGGTGCTGCTGTGCATAGAACACCTGCTTTCAAGTAAGGTAGGAATAAAGAGCAAAACAAGAGCAAAGATGCTCAAGGAATGGGCTGTCAGCTTCATTTGTCATCTTTGTAAATTATTTAGAAAAGGAAAAATATATAACGGTGAAAACTTAGCAGCTAATATTGAGGTCTGTGAGACAGTGAAATGTTGAACAATAATGACTTCGAGAAAATTTATTCAGTAACCTTTAACTGTATAGTAAATCCTAGGCACTGTACTTGCTTCCAGCATAAAACAATACCCTGTTCCTGAGGACTTTGAACTGTTATATAAATGAACACAGAGAAGCATTTGTCTGCTTTGGCATTTCTCAAAGTGGGTTTTAATTGTTGGATGTAAAAAGGGATTACAACAGGACTTCTCAGAACCTTCAATATGCTCACGAATACTGAGAATCATTTCTAAGAATGGGGTATGTATTATGCAGTGGTTTCCAAATTTATCTGAAGACAGTATCTTGGTTTTGTTTTTTGCTTTGCATTATGTTTTTGTTTTTGGAGGAATAGCATGTGAACTTGTGGGACTCGTATGGCCTGGAACACACTCTAGAAAATGCTGACATTAAAAAATAGAGGCATGTCTGGAATTTAAAGCATTCTGGAAATCTCTTCATCAAATATTTACAAAGTGATTAAATCACTGCAAAATGGCATGAGGCCCAATACTGGACAGCTCTAAAATCCAGTGCCCCTTCATAGCAGCTATATTCCTAATAGCCAAAAAGTGGGGACAACAAGCAAATGTCCATCAACTGATGAATACATAAACAAAACATGTCTTATTCAGAGAATGGAATACTACTCAGCCATAAAAAGAAATGAAGTACTGGGCTGAGCCCATGGAGCACTCGGGAGAGTGCGGCGCTGGGAGCGCAGCAGTGCTCCCGCCGCGGGTTCTGATCCTATATGGGGATGACCGGTGCGCTCACAGCACTCACTGGCTGAGGGCGGTGCGGCCGGTCTCAAAAAGGACAGAAAAAAAAAAAAAGAAATGAAGTACTGAGTTAAGTTATAACATGGATGAGCCTTGGAAACATCACGTTAAGTGAAAGAAATCAGACACAAAAGGCTTCATATTACATGATTCCATTTACATGAAATGTCCAGAGCAAACTAGAGAGAGAGAAAGCAAATTAGTGGTTGCCAGGGGTTGGAGGGAAAGAAGAGTAAAGAGTGACTGCTCATGAACACAGGGTTTCTTTTAGGGATGAGGAGAACGTTCTGGAGTTAGATAGTGATGATGGTTGTACAACCTTGGGAATATACTAAAAACCACTGGATTGTACACTTTACGAGGGTGAGTTTTATAGTATATGCCTTTTATTGCAATTAAAAATATCCAGTACTCCACCATACCAAATGTTATCCCTCCCATATTACAGGAACTGAGAACAACACAACCATTTCTTGTCACAATTATATTTAATGAAGGTACTAGATGTTATTTACAGAAGATATACATACATACAATTCCTACACATTAAATGTAGTCCAATTGTTAAAACAGGAAAAAATGTACTCCAAAATTACATACTAAATAAAATAAATAAAAAGTAATTATTTGGCACAATATCTATTATGTAGCAAATAAATAACTCTATACCATCAATTGAATGAACTATTTACAATCTATTTGAAAGTGCAAAACAATTGCTGAAAATTAAGATATTTGTAATAATATTTAAGTCCAGAAAATATGTTTTTCTTTTTTTTAATCAGTAATAATAAATTTGTGGCCAATAGTAAACGTTTTTAATGCCCAGGAAAATATTCCAATTTTGAAAAGTGTTTTGTGCATATTGTGCTCTTCTGAAATGTTATTTTTTATCTTAACACTGGCGGTTTTAAGAATGTGGTTTTTCTTAGTGGAATTCTTATGTATGTAATCCTGATTTGCAAATTTTAAAAAGATACATTGTAAACATAAATATTATTCTATATATCATTCAGAAATTACAGACCAGTCCTCCCTCAATTACAAAAACAGCCATAATGTTTTATAGTAATGTGGTCAGGTTCTATTCTTTCAGAGGTAAGATTATGAAGATGGAAGAATACAACTTATTATTTGGACTTATACGGATTCCTCAACACCTTCCCAAAATCCGATGCTCCAAGTCAAGGTGTTGAGTTAAAAATCATGAAACTATATCACCACCAATATATCCAAAGCAATTCCACTTGTAGCACATCTCATCCTGTCAACACTCTTAGGAAAAAATTTCTGGAACTTGACAGTTCTCTTGAGAATGGTATTTCTACCAAACTCTTCATGTGGGCCTTATTTAATGTATTGGCAAAGAAGATGGCTCAACTGGAAATTAAACAGGGTGACCACAAACTGGGGAGTCCTAAGCTAGAGTGTGTAAGCTTTATGCAAGTCAAATAATTTCTTCTTTGTCATGTAGCTGGTAAGCTGAATGCAGCCCTGAGGTGTCTCAGGATGTGTTTTTGCTTGTTTTGTAGAATTCTCTAGTGGCAATACAGTCACTAGTAGCATAAATGGCATTTTTGAAAGATTGTGGACTGGAGACAAACCATTGCTCTGGGTACTTTAAATGTCTATGGCCGACGAGGCTCTAATCTGTGTGACATCTGTGATAAAGTTCTCTGGTTGTCAATCACATTTAATTGCCGTACATAACTGCGGACATCCTGATGGTTCTTATTAGCTTGAGCTGCATCAGGGTCTGTTGAAAGAAGAAAGGGCAGACTTGGCATTGCATAATATATGCATATAAGATACAGCTTATTTTTCCAATTATTTATTACATTTTCCTAGATTCCTGGGTTCCACCAAGACCTTTCAACATACCACATTCATTGAAATGTTGCCACTTGGTTGTTCCATCTCCTACCTCCTACACTCCAATTTTCTTTTCTTCCCTGGAATCACCTCTTTTGATCATTTTCCTTTGCATTGCACGTTGAAAAAAAAAATGGCACCAAATAAAAAGGGAAACATCTGTCTGATAGCCCCTAAATTGTTTCCCCTTACCAACCCACCTCTGTGTCTCCCACTCTGAGTCTCCACCTCCTTTGATCCAGGGGACAACTAATGTCAAAAGACATAGTTTTCATTAGCTCCTCACAAAAGCACTTAAACCTGGGCTGAAACTGAAGCAAGCCATTAAGTCCCGACTCCCCTCTTTGCTTGCATATAATATAGAGCATTACTACATAGACTATGTTCTTAGAGACTATCTATATTCAGGGAGAAACTCAACTCATAGGCTGAAGTTATGACTTCACCTAGACCTTTGATTCTCTGATTGCTACTTGTTCTGAAAACCCATTTACCATTCTATTCTGATCCATACTCCAAGTGTGAGCAGCTGAGCTATCACACAGGTTTACTGATTTCACTAACGCTGGGGCTGAAAGAAGAATCCAGTGCCCACAGCCCTGAGCAGGGAATATACATGAATGAGGAAGGCTTTTTTATTTTATTTTATTTTATTTTTTGCTGCTGGCCAGTCTGGGGAAGGCCAAATTCGACAGTGGTAAACTGGAAACACAGGTCCCTTCAGAAGGGACTACTCAGCTCCTGCATGATGCTGTCACATGAAAATCTATATCCAGAGTTGCCAGACCTTTCTTTTTCTTTTTTTTAGAAATGAGAAATATGGATTTATTCCCTGTGAATTCTCCCAATTTTAAAACGGTAACATTATTTCAAAGTAAAAGGGAAAAAATGCTCTGTTTAGACCCAACACCTCTGCCATGGTCCATGGGCCACCTCTGTCTCAAGGATCACTGGGTGGGGCCTCAGGTCTGATAGCACCGGGAGTGGCTGAGCTGGAGTCTGGACTCTCAATCAGTGTTTTTTTCTACCATAGCACACTGCTTTCTGCAGTCCAGTTGCTCCTGTTAGATTCACACACCACTCCCGAAGACAATTAGAATGCCATCTGCATAAGGGGTGAAGAGGACTGTTGCAGGTCTGAACACAGAAAAGCAGAGAGAAGATACAAAGGCCCCTACTTGCTGTAAGAAGAAACTCATCAGTATAATTATCACACATAAATAATACCACAGTGAACTGCAGAACACATTGTGTTTAATTTCCTCCGCTTCTCACTGGCAATGTACTCTACATGTACAATATACTGTAATTACATTGTACATATTCCCATAGTGCTTATGAATCTATTCCTATAGTTTTATCTATAGATTGTTGACTTCAGAGCTGAGCAGCTGGTGTTTACCAGCAGTTACTGATAACTTCAACAAACGCAGTGGAGTTTAAAAAAAAAAAAAATTCCCCCCATTTCTCTAGAAGATGTAAGAGAATGCAGGATTTACTCCTTAATGGGCTCACGGAACACAGCATATTCTATAGTCGTTCTTCTTTGGTTCTTGAACCTCCCTGAGAACTTTCTCAAGGCTATAAACTGTCTCAGGCACACAAAACTTTGCACGTAATTTCAGGAATTTCCTGTGCTCCTTGAAGGGCCATAGACTCTAGATTATAAACTCCTGTTGTAACTAGTATCACTTATGTATTCTCGGTCACTTATCTATCCTCGGTTTCACTTGTACAACTACTTTATGATCATGTCTTTAAATACACAGTAAATTACTAGATGAAAAGATATAAGACATTCAAATTCTGGCAATATCCACATAGGAACAGTAGATGATATATAAGACTATTCTCACTTTTGAAATCAGAAAAGGCACGATCATTTAAATTAATTTTTTAAAGGTCTACTTGCTCCCCAAGTCAAGATTATTTTTCCTACATGTTTTCCCTTTATACATTAAAAAATGAACATTTAGTAGTTCAGCATCCCATGTCAGCAAACCCTGGTTGTGGCTAGCCTTGTGCTAGTAAGAGTAAATAGCTTGGAGTAATGAAATGGGAAGCTTTTAGTCTCTTAGCTTTGGGTTTATTGGAGGGGATGGTACTGGTAGCCTCGCAGTCACATCCATGTCATGCTATCATGTCGAGTTAACAAGCCACATTTCTTCAAGTGACTCATATAGTGAATTAACAAAAAAATTTACAGGGTCCATCAGGGTCCTAGGCCATACTGAGGGAGATAAAGCTCCATCCCTGACCCAAAGTCCCAGCCCAGAGAAGACAGTAGCACTGGTCTAGTATGACCATCTGGAGCTGAGATGCAACTTAATTCCCAACAGAATAAAATTTTTATTATTAGTAATATTTTTATATTATAGCATTGTATTATGCCAGTTATTGTGATACATGTTCAGATTTAAAAAGAGCAACTCAAATTCACCTGGGAATGCTAGAAACATAATAGGAAATCCTGCTATGGGACCTTTTACAAATGTGCTATAAACATTAATGCATTCTCAAAACACTCTGAGAGAAAATAAATATTATCTTTCTAGTTTATAAATGACAGAACTGAGTCATCAACGGTTGATATGAGTTTCTCAACGTCAAGCAATGAGTCATAAAGAGAGTTGGTTCGAGGCAGGATTTGTTGGCAATTGTGCCTTAGCTGTTGTTAACCACACTGGAAAGAGCTTAGATTAACTCTCTTTTAATTTATAAAATAATATCCTTACAGTTATTTTTTAGTATTACAACAATGTCAATATTTTCTAGTATTACAACAGCAAAAAATCCTTAAACCCTGTCCCATGGAATTCATGATCCAAAGCGTCTGTCTCAGTGGCCTCATTAAAAAGGACTTCATCACCAAGATCTACACTACAGCATGCAGTAGCATTTAACTTACTGAAGGGTTGGCTCCTGTAGTATCTCACCGTTCTGGCAGTATTTGCAATCATGCGCTAAAAGGAATAAAGAAAAAAGAAAAACAGAAATGCAAGTAAGCTTAGTGTTTAATCCAAAAAGGAAAGCAAACCATTATTTATTTCAGTAAAACTTGGGACCATGAGAAACAGCATGTTCTGAGATGTGGACTATCTGAAGGCAACTGGTTGATGGATAGCCTGTTTAATTACATTAAAGAGGCACCCACACTCGCAGACACAAGGCATTTTTCAGGTAAGAACTATTAATGGCATAACGCCAGTCTAATTATTTGCTTGTTCCCCACAATGTAAAAAGCGTCTGTCATTCCTGAGACTGTACCTTAATGCTTGGGAAGAGTGTTCACCATCCTTTCCTGAGGTCACTGTGAATTTGTAAGAGAATTTATAACTATCTTAGATTTGGAGAAGGGTTAGCTTGTCAAGTTCCTCACGATAAACAAGATTCAGTAATGAGGTATTAGATTGTATTGACTGAACAGTAAGTCAAAATATTCTACTTATAAGTTTTTGCTATACACTACGCATTACTGACCTTTCTAATCTTCCAGCAAAAGCGTATGTTTTAATGCTAATCCTAATTGTTTCCCTCCTTCCCTTTCTTCTTTTTTTCCCTTCCTTTCTAATTATAACACTAACACATGCACATTTTAGAAAATCAGGAAGACAGAAAATTTTAAGAGCAAAGTAAAAATCACTAAGAATATCACTTTAAAGAGTAACCTCATTAATATTTTGGTACATTTCCTTCTAATATTAAAAAATATATAAAACCATATTTTTCAAAAATTGAAGTCATATTATATATGCATATTTTTATTTGCAATTTTTTCACATTGCATTTGTGACTACTTTCCACGCCATTTGCATTTTAGAATGTTTTAAAAATGAGCATGTATTCAATCATGGACAGATCATTATTTTACCTTTGTTAATTTTGTCATAAAGTGATATTCCTAATTTCTTTGTAAAGTTTTGGTTGCAACAAAAACTTAAAAGGGAATCGTTTGTGCTAAACTCGATTAAAAACAAAAGAAAAAAAGAGAAGAAATAAAGAACAGAAACAGAAACCCCCTAACCCCTGAGAAAAACATTAGTGAGACTGAAGACACTGGATAGACATTTTTTAGCCAAGATGTACATTTCTTGCTCAGGGTATTTTAAGAGTAGCTGGGACCCCCAGTGCCTGCATATGTTTCAGGATACTTTTGCTGCTCAAACTCTAAAGAGGTCCTGTAGAGACAGTGGATTAATTGTAACACTGGCAGAAAATTGACAAGGCTCCACCCAGGGAAAGAGACTCCCCAATCTCTAAGCAGCTATGTAATTCTAGTCCTCACTTTCCTCCTCTCACAGACTCTCGGAAAATGATTTTGAGAAAGCTTATGTGGTACAAAAGAAAATCATAGAAGAGCCAAAGCCTTACATATATATATATATATATATGTAAGCATCGTAATACCTCACTGAATACTACTGCTTTGAGGACTCTGGCAAACATTAAGCGACATGTATCTGCAGGGGATAATTTCTCATATGCAAAAAGGCAATTGGAAAAGTTAGAACTTCACTTTCATAAAGGATCCTAAAAACCAGCATGTCTGTTGATCAGCATGAGAAATATATTACAAATACCTCCAAGAAAATGTAAAATACAATGTATAATTAGCCTCTGATATATGGAGCCCTGAAATAAACAGTAACTATGATAATTTTCCTGCTAATTTACTTTAAGTTGTTTTTTCACTTCTCTAAAGGCTTTGCATCCGAAGGGCACAAGTATATTCCATGTAGAATTATTGTAATTCTTCAGATATTGAATGGAGTGTAATTACTGAAAACCCTGGGAAAAGCTGCCAGTATGCCCCTCTGAAGAATAATAAAACAATTAGCAGGGGTCAGAAACCTCTTCCTATACCATTTTGTATGGAGTAATTGTTCTGCTTTTTAGTTTTGAAAGCTAAAACATTCCATTTTGACTTTGGTTTTAGACTACTCTTCACAACTATACTCTGAGGCTTCATAATTTTTAGCTCATTATGTAGTTTAAAATGTGAGAACAATTGTTTAAATCAGTAATTTCCAGCTCTGAAGTTCATTCTACCTTTCTAAATCTTTGATTAATTTTAACAATGGTTTTAATTTTAACGTATCCTTTTTAATTGCACTCAAAGATAACTTCAGTGTAACTTCAAAATCCAAATCTGGCTTTACAACGGTCCATTCTTTTCCTTTGTGAGGTCCAGACAATAATGTGTAATGGTGTGAGCCCACAGGAAGGATGTGTGAACCCTGCTTGTATTGCTGGTTAATGCACAGTTACAGAATGCTTTCACGAGGCCAAAGAAGGGTTAACGTGGTATTTTAACTCCACCCTCTTTGACACATGCAGTATTTAATATGCTACTACAACCACATACAACTACAAGGCACTTTCCTGGGTTGCAGAAAGGGACTTTAGAAGTCACCTCCTTGAACCACCTACAACTGCATAATGACTTCTGCAGCCTGCCTCTGAACAGTGGCTTCCCACTGTCTGAATGCATCCAGCAATGAGCAACTCATTATCTCCAAAGACAGCCCCTTTCATTTTGGACATTTCTGACTATTAGAAATCTCTTTATCACTTTGAGTCAAAGCCTTTCTCCCTTTATTTTTCACTCATTGGTTCTGAGCTCTGGAGTCACAATAAACTACTTTCTTTTTTAACAGGACAGTTCTTCAAATACTTGAAGACAACTATTATGAATATCTCCCCACCCCCAGGTCTTTTCTTGTTTGGCCTAAATATTCCCAATTTCTTCAACAATTCTTCATAAGACAGTTTTGATTCTTTTCTGGACAGTCTTTAGCGTGATGCCCTAGACTAAACAAATTGCAGAGTGCAGAGAAACTATCATCTTCCTTCCTTCCTTGATCTAGACAATGCTATACATCTAAGTCTACAACTAACAAAAAAAATGATGTTACTGACATCTGTTGAACTAATAGTGAATTAAACCTCTCAGCCTAGTTCATTGAGATGCTGTTTGGACACAGCTTCCTGCTCTGTACATGAGCAGTTGATTTCCTGGACTGACATGGAGGATTTTACATTTATCTCCATTTAAATCCATCTAGTTAGAGTCTTTCTATCTTTCCACAGACTTAAGCCTCACATGTTATTTTTAACGGAAGACAACTATTTATTCATTGGTGTTCTCAGTCAAGGTTGGCAGCAACTAGGGTTAAAGAGTCATAGGCTTCATTATCCAACCGCCACAGAAGGGATGAAGCCAAAAATTATACCCTAGGCTTTGAGGTCCTGCCAGAGCACGCTGGCCTGCCTGGAGCAGGCTCGACAACTTTCCATAATGCCAGTAAGAGGTAAAATGCCTAATTACTCCAAAGCAGAGATTTTCATCCTTTTTTTCTATACTAGCAAAACTGAGGTTTATGACACACTCCCATTAGCAACTGTCTCATTAAGACAGTGATTGGAAATTCAGGGGAAATGTGAGGAGCACAGGCCCCTTAGAGGAAGGGAACCCCAAACCACTGTAGGGGGACAAATTAAACTCCCTCACTTACACCTTGACTGATTTCTCTCAGGACTAATTCTAAGTATATGTCTTTGGATCTTGTTTGCAAAACTTAATATGCTCCTATAATTCCTAACCTCCAGGGCTGAGTAATGAGCCCAATGAAAGCTGATGAATTCCCCTCAGGGCATGCACATGTGCAGGGAAGCTCAGAAAGGAAAAATGAGGTAGGGAGTGAAGGGCTCTGACTACCCTCACGGTCGAGTGACCAGGACAAAGACTCCATCCAGAGGAAGGGGAGACCACTATCTGCACTCCAGCCTAGCACCGGTGAGAGGCTCTGAGGCTATAGTTCCAAACACAACTTTCCCTCAAGCTCTGATGCAGGTAATTCCCCTCAAATCCAATGCAGTGTCAGAGACGTTGCATTCTTACCTGTTCACCTTTCTGTGGTACCCTCCCCTAGGGAACAGGTTGGCCAAGTCACACCTTCACTCCTATCCAGACATGTCGATAACCTACCAGGCCTCTACAGCTGTCGTCAGCTTTTCTGGCCAGCTCTGTACAGACTCTTGTGCCCCAAGTGCAAACTCTCCCTTAGGTCTCTTGTCGCTAAAGAGGAGCAGACTTCATGTCTGTTTTTCAAGTTCAGACCAGCAGGCCTCCAGGCAACGGCACCTCACGTTCCCAGACAACTGCCAGAACTCCCCTTCTTCAGTTATTCCGCCTCTCGTCTCACAGTCGCTTAAGGAGCTGTTCTTGACTTCAGGCCTCTGCTAAATGCCTGCCCTGAACTGTTTCTGTCTTTCCTTCTGTTGCCCCTAAAGATTTTTACCATCTTTGTTCTTAATGTTTGCCAGATTGCCTTTTCTTTTCTTTCTGTGCCTACAGATTTGACTCTGTTCCCACCTATTTGCCTATCAAATACAGGATCTCTGTCAATTGTTCCTTGCTCAGCACATGTAAAAGCACATTCACACCATCTGGTTATTTCACTCAGACCCCCACATACATGGGACAAGAATTTTTTTCCACAATAAGATCTAGAAATATATAGTCTCTCACCTACAAAGATTGTGCCCATGACAGCAACCAAATGCACAGTAAGAACCAGCGATAAAAGGGACCCAGGAGCTGAACCAGCCTTCACTGTGTGCATGACTGAGAAGAACGCTGAGCCCTGTCCCCAAGCTGTGGATCTTTAATACCTCAGAGTTGTGTGACATATAGATACACATGTGTAACACATGCATAATGTTCATGCTATATCTTAGATATGATGGTCACGGTACATGGCAGTTCAGGTACCTGTCCAGGCACATATAGAGTATGTGTACATCTCTGCATTTGGGGAAAGACACTGAAGAAGAGATACAGTTAGCACCACAGGGAGGAGGGGAGACAGAATAATGTCCCATTAGGAAGAGAAGGTAAAGGGAAAGTCGTCTTGTGTAAAGTCTCAGTTATGCAAAATGCTTTGGGATATCCTGGTTAATCAAATTTTCTAATAAAATAAAACACACTTTTGGGTTAAATTTCTGCACTGTTCTACCCCATTAAGTCCATCACTGGAATATAATTTGGGTATTCTTTTATTCAGCAAATATTTCTTGCATCTTTACAATGTGCCAGACATCTTTATGGGTGCTGGCAAAATATCAGTGGACAAATAGATAAGACACCTAGTCCAGGGCACTTACATTCTAGTGGAAAAGACAGACAATGAAGAAGCCAGTGAAGAAGCTCATCTCAGGCATGAAACCAGCTATCAAAGCAAGGTTATCTGTCAGACAACCTGCTGGGTGTGGAGCAGCAGTGTTAGAAGGGTAGTCAGGGAAGACCCCTCAGAGGAGGGGACACGAGCTGAGCCCTGAATAATGAGAAGGGGCCAGACAGGTGAAGTCTGGGGTGAAGAACATTCCAGGCACAGGTAACATCCAGTGCAAAGGCCCTGAGGCTGGCAGAAAAAGAAAGAAGGCTCGTCCCACCAACTGAGTACAGAAAAGAGAAAGTGTGACATATGCTGGACAGGTACTTAGGAGAAGTCTGGATCGTATTATGTTATGGTATATACCACGGTTTTATATCCCACTGATCCATCTGCACGAAGTTATCTCTCCTGTATTTTGCTTCTTCACATCTCTTTTATTACTATTGTGACCTAGTCTTTTGCTGATTTTTTGGTTGACTTTTAATATTTCATGTGTTTATGTTTTATCTTCTCAACTCCCTGTAATTTCCTAGAAGCCAAAGATATCTAGATATCTTTACATTTCCTATTAAAATCCTTTGCCTGAACACTCTACACATGTTGTAATGCTTTGAAGCATACCCGTTGGAAAATCTGCATTTAGCTTGGTTTGTGAAATCTATATAAAGAAGTAAACTTTCAAAGTACTCCTGTAGATTTCCCTTATGTTGGGGAGATCTGGGAATTGGCTGGATTCGAACATTTATATTTTTTACTTAGAGGTTCTGTTTTCCATAGTTTGTGATAACAAGTGCTATTCTCTCCATGAATCCTGAAATAGTACTACTGGTGTTAGAAAACATATTGCTGCTAATTACATAATGATATGCATAGTGATACAAAAATAAAAGGATTCAAAACATTTCTCTTTCTTAATAAATTAGCTTTGTTAATGTTTCCAGAAGTATAGACGTTTTCCCCATGTTTCTCATTACAAATTGACTACCTTAAAAATCATATTTATAAATAAATATACCTAAATAAGGGTATGTTTGAAATAGAACCAACCTCCTAATACAGTAGTGACTGTGCCTATCAGCATGTTTTATGCAGCCTGTGATAGTGGCAGCCGGCCAGCATATTATCCTCTAATCCATTGCTAGTCTACCTCCTAAATGTTATAAATATTCATGTATGCCATAGAAAGCTATGCAGGGCTTTCTGCAAACATTTTTTTGAATACTCCTTTATGTTCCCCCCAAATGAAAGAATGTCTGCCTTTTTTTTTTCATAAGGATCAGAGTGTGAATTCTCTTTTGTTCATACCCATAAATCCTGAAAACCAATAAGCAACAAATTCTCTAATCCTCATTTCATACCTCAAGGGTAAAGAAGTTCAAAATAAAAATACTTAGGGTTGGCATAGCAGTTTGCTGTGACTGCACAATGCTGCCACCAAGAAGAGGCATCTGTTTCTAGCTACCCTGGAGACTTCTGCCCCTGGCAGGGGCTCCCAATGGGGACACAGCCCACCAGTCTCACAAAGGCTGCCAGCTCTGCTCGACACCTGGGCCTTGTTGATGGATGACTGGGAAACAGCACTGACATCGACCTGAAAAGGAAGATGTATACTTCGCCAAAACGCATAGTAATAGCAGCAGCCACCAGTGGTAGTGGTAGTGGTGCTATGGGGACAAGCTGGGCTAATTTATGAGGAGAAAACGTTGGAAAGTTGGTAACAAGTGTCAGATTGGTTATTGGTCAAAGACAGGTCGAGAAAACATAATCAAGTATTTTTGAAATTCCATTTTATTTTCCAGTAACATCTAACTCATAGGAGGTCAATTCTAAAATCAAATTTTCTCGTGGTATGACTTGTCAAAAGAAATAAAATTTATAAAGTTGCTGAAGCAGAGAACTAGCAGTACTTCTTTAATCCTCTTTCCCCTCTCTTTCACAGTAATGGAATCTCCTAATTTTTAGTGGAGCATGTGGATACCCCAAATAAGGGCTACATTTTCTAGCCTTCCTTTCATGTGACTGAGTTTCTGGCCAATAAGTGTGAGTGCAACTTCCAGGTTATATCCCTAAAGTGAAGAAGCACGCCTTCACCTTCTCCTTCCCCTTCCCTCTGGCTGGAATGGGAACGTGGTAGTTGCCGTTGTGGACCATATGGGTGGTCAAATGGCAACAGAGAGGAAGCCTGGAACCTTGACCGCTTCCTGGAGCACAGCTGTCATACCTGCTTGGACTCTTAAGTGAGAAAAAAAGACACTCATCTTGCTTAAGCCATAATTAATTTAGGTTTCCATTACTGCAGCTGAAATACTACCCTAGCTATTTATTCAGTCACTTTTTTTTTTTTTTGAGACCAGCCGCACCATGCTCAGCCAGTGAGCACACTGGCCATTCCTATACAGGATCCGAACCCGCGGCAGGAGCGCTGCTGCGCTCCCAGCGCCCCACTCTCCCGAGTGCGCCATGGGCTCGGCCCTTATTCAGTCACTTTTAAGCAAAAGTGAACTCTCTGAGAGCAGGGTGTGAAGGACCTCTTTCCTCACCACTAAGCCCAGAACACACTGCTGTGGGCATGAAGTGCAGAAATGCGAAGGGGGGACTCTTGCAGTATCCACTGAATGTGATCTTGACTATTCCTTCACAGGTTATGGATGAGACACCAAGATCTAAAAACCCGACGAAACATCTTTCATCCTCCCTGAGAGTTGGCTGGATTTGCATACTTCACTGTTCTTATTTGTCCTGCTTATTTAACTTTTCTGATCAAAGGTTCTAAAGCTCAATCAACCATCTAGGAAAGCCTGACTTATACATCCTGTGCACTTGTGTATTTTATAGTTAAATGGTTGGCTTAGCCACCCTCAGTCTGCATTTCTGCCTAAGTGATCCAGAAGGGTCTTTACCCATTTGCTAAACCTTTCATTTCTGGAAAACAGATTTTATTTTCAGAAATCAGGGAAATTGTCTAATTCTCCATACTAATAAGTGAGCAAAGACTGTTTTTTACTTTGATCAAAAATTATTAAACTGACACAGTAATAGGGATGTTCATACCCTGCCTTTGGTGTGGGGGCTGGGGAGGAAGACTGCTGAGAAAATATTTGCCCTCTGGTATAGACTGTCTTTGAGGAGTGTGTACTCATGTGCTATTTCCTAAGAAGCTTAGGACATGGGAACCTAGTGCCATGCAATAGTCTTTATGAGGCTGGGCTTTGCAATAAGCTCATTCTCAAGGCTGAATGGTGCTGATCCCTATAGGATTACTGCAGGGTGTTTCAAATTCTCCTGGAGTCACACATACTAGCTTAATTTCAAGAAACAATTAGAATAACATTTTTCTGTTAAGAATTCTATAGCACTTTATGGCTTACAGGAACAATTATATACCATGGATCTACCAACAATCCAGACATAGATGGAGCAGGCGTAATCCCCATTTTCTGCTGGGGAAACCAACCCACAGAAAAGTAGAAGGACAGCTGCGAAGTGACGAAACTGAGTACAAAACCTCATGTCTCCTGAACTCCAAGTCCTGGGCTTTCCTACAGTGGCCACATTCATACTGCAAATCATAACCCTGGGCAAATGCTCGCCCACATGGAGATAAAACACTGTACCCCTCCATCCATCCGGGCAGCAGCCAAATGACTGGCAAGACAATGGAGCATTCCATTAACATGCACTATGTTGCTAAAGACAGGTTTTGGCATGGCTTGCTTTACTGCTCCACAGAAGATAAGAAAATAAACTGCAAAGTAACTAATGCCAGTTAACATGCTTTTTTTTTGTGGAGTTGGGGTAGGAGGGTGGCTGGAAAATGCTAAATATGTGCCAGTTCCACATTTGCTATTAAAAAAATCTTTTTGGTTATGAAGATTTTCAAGTTCCCTCTCTAGACTTGGGTGAACTTTACTGGGATAAGCAATACACATTTAGATAACACTCCATAATAAACATCTGCTATAGAGTTGCCTTTCATTTACATGCACTAAAGTCAGGTAGGGCAGATAAACATTTCAAAGGCATCCTGGGGCAGTCTAGCTCCACACACCTTGCAACAAAACAACAACATGGAAGTGAGTCTGGAACATTCGTGCATTTTACCAACAGGCAGCCACGGACGAAACACATAGCATAAAAGCTAGCTGCTGCTGTGAGCCTCAGCATAAATACTATTCCATTTCACAAAAGAGAACTGACAGAATAAAATAGGTAGCCAATTTGAACCAAATATTTCAAAACTCCTTTATGTGTAGCTACCTTTTTAACATGGCAGCATGTATGGAAATTATTTCTTTTATTAGTACAAATGCAAATTTTATTTTAAAAAAACATTGTGGTTAAGGTTATAATACTGCACGTACCATTTTTTCAAAGTTTACTAGATTGTCAGTGAACGTCTTGTTTCCCTCATGAGTAAATGTCATATCTGTAAAGAAATAAAAGCCACATTCTAATCACTAACCGAAATATGTCATATAAGAAAGCACAATAGCACCATTAGATTATGCTGATGGATTTGCATAACACTGCAGTTGAAAAAGCTATAACAGTTCCTTTTATGTTAGGTGTTTAACTTTCTAAATCACTTTACCTGAGATTAGTAAAATTTCTAAACTAAGCTTGTTTCACTAACAAGTCTTCCAAATTATGGGTCACTGCTCCTCTAATCGTCCTCCTAACCCTCTCAGAAGAGTCGCTGAGAGGCAATGGCAAAGAAGGGGGAGGAATGGGATCATTCTTCCCAAAGAGAGCAATCTGATCAGGGTAGTGCTCATTTTTCTTCCCCAGGCACTCATCACTTGCTTGGTCTGTGCATTTTCTTAGGGTTACCTTTAATGAGCAAAGGCATGAAGGGGATGAGAGGTGGCTCCAGCTTAGCTACTGTCAGCCTGTAGGCCCTGTGGTTTCTCGAAGGATCCTTGGGAGAGACAGAGAGATGCTGGTCAGTGACACGTGACATATATACACTCTGACTTCCTAGTACACCCAGCCTTGTCATCCCATCATCAGGAATTTTTGAATCAAGTGTAGATACAAAAGAAAGGCAGATTTAGTGAAACAAATTGATTTCTATTTTAAAACAACTTCATGTATGGAATGAAAATATTTTGCTTTTTGTTTCCTTTCTTGTGTGAAAGGGAGATTTGCCTGCAAGGGCAAAGGGGAGTGATTCCCTTTGAAAGCAAATATGAAACACGTAAAACAAACCTCAACCATGAGATTCCCCTTCTCCCGAAGCCCCGCCTCCTTCCTAGGAATTTGGCAAACTCCCCTCCCTGCCCTGCATAGCTGGTCCCGACTCGTCCTCTGAAACCAGCCATCACTCTTGGCAAGTCCCACTCACTCTTTGTCTGTCAACACCTCCCAGCCAATGGGGAAAAATAATTTTGGCAAGCCAAGGAAAATGCAGCTTCTAACCCATAGCCTACCTCAGCCAGATGGAAAGGACCCTATTACACTGCTTTTCTTAGTTACACAAATTGACCTTATGTGGGACATAAGTCGTCTTTAAGTTAGTTCCTGGAGGTGCCATTCATTAGTGAGACATGCTTGTTTTAGCAGCACTAAAAGGGATCATAAACTTCTTAAAGTCATACAAGGACAGATAAAATTTCTGAAATGAGAACTTCAATTCAGCTAATCAGAAACTGGATTAATGCAGACAGTGAGCAGAATAAAGGAGCCACTGTCACTTACCATTAAACTTTCAAACTCCGCATAGAACTTCTTGAACTTGCTTGGCAGTTTCTGTTAATGAAATGAAAATGCCACATGCATATGTCAGATTCAATATCTAGATATGTATTCTCTGTTACCATTTCTAGGGAAAACATATTTCTTTTAGCTGCTAATCAAACATTCCTGAGACAGGCTGGACTGTAATCTGTCCTGTCACCTGAGAATAATCTTCTGGAATACAGAGAACTCTCCTTTTAAAAGATGTAACCGAGTTGAACCAAAAAGAACTATGGATGCTTTGGTCTTACTGCTTTTATAATGTTTTCTGAACTGGATGATTTATAAAGAAGACTGCATTCTCCAGATTATAAGTGGTCTGGGGACACCCCACTTTTTTTTCCCACTCTGATTTCTACAGTCAGGAATTTAGACTAAAGAATATTAGGATTAAAAGAGCTTTAGAAACTATTTCAACCTTCTTCCTCCCTTACAACGTAAATTATATGAGAACAGAGATTTTATTAGTTTTCTTTACTGCTATTTCCTCAGTGCCTAAAAGAGCTGGGTACGTAGTAGGTGCTCAATAAACATTCATTTGAATAGATTAAACCTGTGTTTTACAGATGGAAGAAATTAGTCTCACAGTTTAAATGACCGGCCCAAAGTCATCCAGCTGGTTATCTTTGGGGCTCTGGGATCCCCATTGCCTGTCGCCTTGTCCACTCCCTCTCGTACATGCTCCACGCTCTGCACATGTGTGTTCCTCCCACATAATTCCTCTGCCTGGCTATAGTACACCGTTCGATAGCTCCATCAATCTATCCATGTCCCCTGTTTGCATCTGGCACATAACTCAGCACCACTTACTGCACTCGCATGTCTGCAACAGTGGGTCAAAATGGAAGCATCTTTCTAATCACTGGTTCCCTCTTCGCTTCTTAGGTTCTGAGTTTTTAGTAAAGCTGAACTTTTCTTTAGACAGGGCCAAACCAAGATAGTGCCGTGTGATGTTTCCCATGCTGGGACCATGCAAGCACTGACCAAGTCCTGGGCCTCCCAGATTCCCAGCTCTGTTCAGCTCTGCACGGTAAGTCGAACTTCAGTGGCTGATTCACCAACGAGGGCTCTGCAATCCACAGAAGAGCTCCTCTAGCCTTTTTCTCTTTCATATGAATCAATTTGCCATAGGCCCATTAAATATTTGTAAAAAATCTTACTTTGTTTCTAGCAACTAGTTTTCTACATATCCTCCAAACATTTTCCTAGTGCCTGTTTTCAAGTTAGATTTCTGGTAAACTTGATGAATATTCAAAGGGCTGGAAGCTGGGATGGGCACCAAGGGATGCAAGGATCTCATCCCACATGGAGTGTCCAAATCACCCTGTTAGGCAGTAACTTTCTGTGAACATAGTCCATTTTTCCTATTAAGAGTGAATTATACTTTTGTTTAGACCTCTGTCATTCTAGGTCTCTTTCTTTCCTCAGCTGGATTTTAAGTCAAAGGTAGTAGAGTATATGGTAATAAAAAATGTGTGTTTCTGAGTACTGTTCTCTACCTACATCCCGTGCAGTGTTCTCAACAAGGGCCATTCTGCCAACCCAGCGACATTTATTTGGTAGTGTCTGCAGACAATTTTTTGTTGTCACAACTGGGCTGAGGTGTCTTAAGAAGTGTTAATAATATATGGTGGGTGGAGGCCTGGGATGCTGCTAAGCATCCTACGATGCACAGGACAGCCCTCCACCATGAAGAACGGTCCTGCCCCAAGTGTCAACAGTGATGAGGCTGAG